TTGATGGCTCTTACAAACTGGTCTCTGACCCGGGCCAGACACTTGATGAAGACCTGCCCGGCGGCTACGCTGGTCACTGCATGCTGGTACTGCCCAGGCCCGGACCAGATCTTCGCTCTGAGCTGCCGGCACGGCGCAATGCCCGCGCATGGTTTTGGAAGGTGCTTTGGAGCCTCAAACCGTTTGCATGGTGGTGGCGTGCGGGGGAGGGGGGTGGGCGCTTACTGAGGAGGAGGGATTGGTAGCGGTGTGCGAACCCCGCGCTGAGGTGGAAGAAGCGGTCTGCGTGACTTTTTCTTTATCACAGGGTATCATAGGGGCATATCCTAACGCATACGGTAGATTTCACGCTACACGTGGAGTGCGTGGACAACGTCTGTGGCATGGCGCCGGTAGAATGCGGCGCGGGCGGACACTTGTGCGGGGTGGGTTGGCCGCGGGGGAGATTTGTGGTGGGATATTGGTGGTGGGATATTGGTGGTGGGATATTGGTGGTGGGATATTCGCGGCGGTGCAAATTCGATGTAACTTTACAAGTATCTCGCGCAGCGCGTTGATTGCTCGCGGCGGCCATGGCGCGATCGCGATTGTCCTGTGATCGCGATTGCAGTCCGCGGGCGAGTCGCACCTCGCGTGACTCTCGTGACCACGTGTCATGACACGGCGAGTCGCACCTCGCGTGACTCTCGTGTCCACGTGTCATGACACGTGCCGCCTCGCCTGCCTGCTACAGTACACCCTCATAAACGACATCCAACCCGGTGCCGACAAGTGCTCCTGTCCAGCAACCGCCTCCCATGCACCCCCCTTCCCCCCCCCCCCCCGTTAAACGCCCGACACTTGCCCCTCCTCCATCCCCTCCCTCCCTAATTTACGCATCGACCCCGCGCACTTGCTCCACCCCCCCCAACCCCAAACTCCGCTGCCTCTATGCATCCCGTGCCTCCCCGTCTCCCCCCGGGCTAACCTATGTCCTCTCCGTTCTCCACCCCCACTGCCTCCCTCCCCGACCCGCTCCCGGACCCCCTCCCCGACCCATTGCGCGGCCCGCGCTCGCCGTACTCGGACTTGCTCCTCTCCCCGCTCCCGCCGTGTGACTCCGACCGCGCGTATCTCGATGCCGCCGAGACCGACCTGCTCGAGGAGATCCAGCTCGTCCAGTCCAAGCTCACCGAGGCACGCCACCGCGTCGCCCTGCAGAAGAACCGCCGCCTGCTGCGACGCAACCACAGCGTGTCCGATTCCATTATCAACACCCGCACGCATCGCGACCACCCGTCACGCGCCAATGCCGCCGCTGGAAACAACAGCCCCCCGCACTCGGACGTCGCCCCGGATCGCTCCCGCACTAGAATCATTAGCGTCAGCTTCCGCCTGCCCAAGAAGGAGCATCGGGAAAGCGTGCGACAGCAGTTTTTCGACCGCGGTCTTCCGCCAAAGGCTATCTTCAGCCTGCACGGCGCCTCCGAGTTCCCGTTTGTCTGGGTAGGCACGGCCGATGGCCAGGGTGATGTTGAGGCACACACTTTTGAGGAGGTCTATGGCGAGGAGCATCGCACCGGCTGGCGCTCCCTCAACTCAAGGCATCCCGACGTCCAAAAGGTCAAGCGCTCGCGGTACGTCGCCGTCTCGCTCCCCGACGAGCCGCACTTGCTGGCCAACTATGACACCTTTTGCGAGGACGCCTTGTGGCCGCTCTTGCATTACGACTACGCCGCGTTTGGCGACCCCGACAACTTGGACGAGGCCTGGAATGCTTATCGCTTTGTCAACAAAAAGTTTGCAGAGGCCATCAGCGAGATTTACGAGGAGGGAGACCTCATTTGGGTCCACAACTACCACCTCATGCTGCTCCCCAGTCTACTGAGGGAGAGCCTTTGGTATGCCAAGATTGGCTTTTTTTTGTACACCCCGTTCCCGTCAGCCGAGATTTTTCGCATTTTCCCGCACCGCGTCGAACTGCTCAGAGGCGTCATTGGCGCCGACTTGATCGCCTTTTTGTCCTACGATTACTCTCGACAGTTTGTGTCCTCGTGCACCAGGCTCCTCGGCTTGGAGGGCACCCCTAACGCTATCGAGGCCGACCCGCGTGTCGGCCGCAGCTGCGAAATCGGAATCTATCCTTGCGGCATTGATGTCCGCGCCTTGCGAAACCATGTCAGCTCGAAGGCCGTCAAGTCCCGCGTCGCCGAACTGCGCGGCAGGTTTGAGGGCCGCAAGATTGTCGTCGGCATTGACCGCTTGGATGATAGCTTTGCAGGCGTACCGTTGAAGCTGCTTGCGTTTGAACAGTTGCTGACAGACCATCCTGAGATGGTTGGTAAGGTCGTCCTCATCCAGGCCGCCATGTTGCCCAAGCAGGGCAAGAGCCGCGATGCCCAACACACCCAACAAAATCAAATCAACGAGCTTGTGGGGCGCATCAATTCTAGTTTTGGTACCTTCGCCTTTTCCCCAGTTCATTATATTAACACCGAGTTGTCCCCGACGGAAATACACGCCCTCATGTGCATCGGCCATGCATGTGTCGTCAGCACCGTGCGGGATGGCATGGGGCTGGTGCCTCATGAATGGACCGTTTGCCAGCATGGAGGGAACAACGGTCCTATCGTACTAAGCGAGTTTTCAGGCGCTGCTCAGAGCCTTGCAACCGCACTGCACGTCAACCCGTGGAACATTGGCGAAATGGCCGTCAAGATCAAAATAGCGCTTGAAATGCCAGCCGCGGCCCGCGCGACGAGAAATGATGCTGCTTATCGCTTTGTCACATCGCACACAGCCTCGCTGTGGGGGTTCAACTTTCTCGAGGATTTAGAGCAAGCCGATGGCGCCCAGGAAGCCGGTACGTCCGCTGCAACGCCTGCTTTAGATTCCAACGTTGTTGCAAGCGCCTATCTAGGCACACTGGCGCAGCCCTCGCCCGTGCCGTCCAGCAATGGCTTGTCATCGATGTCACAGTTGGGGCCGGACAAGCTTTCAAATGTCATGCTTGGGTCGTTTGGGATGCCGCCGCGCATCGGAGGCATGACGCATGAGCAGATTGACGCTTTCCTTGGGCGCGACGGCTTTCGTCAAAACAACTTTGTATCGCCGTCGGAAACGCAGGACGCGTCATGGGTGTCGCCCGACGGGGCACGCCAACCCAAAAAGCGAAAGCGATCCAACTTACTGGTGTTTGACTTGGATGGTACTCTTGTGCCCTTTCAAGCCATTGCCAAGCTCGGCGTTCCGCCTCAACAAGTGCTCGACCTGATTCGAACACTAAAAGAGGCGAGTCCGTACAATTTTATTCTCATCGTGTCCAGCCGCGACCGCGAAACGGTCACGCAGTGGCTCGGTGATCTCGACGTATACCTTGCAGCGGAGGATGGTGCATTTTTCCGAGCACCTGGCCGTTCTCCGTGGATCACGTTGTACAATGACAACACTACCAACGGATTTATTCCTCAGCAGAATTCGTGCGGGCAGTTTTCGCAAACGGCGAGCAACTCAGATGCGGCAACGGACATTGCTTCTGACGCCGACCAAAACCATTTCGGCAGGAGCCTGTCGTCATGTGGTGCAGGGGTGATGTGGAATAGAAGGAATAATGCAGACGTGTTCGTTGACGAGGAAGAGCGCAAACGGAAAGTGTCACTACTGTCTGCCAATGACGGCAAAAACAGAGGTAGTGCACAGAGCATCGTCTCGCTGAGCAACGAAGCAGGGCTGGTCTCGGATTCTGGCGCATGGAAGAGCCAAGTTTTCCCGGTAATGCAGCATTTTGCGGAAAGAACTCCAGGAGTCGTCATTGAAGAAGGTGACGCCACTCTGACATGGCATTATATTGACTCGGAAACAGATTTTGGACGATGGCAGGCTAGAGACCTGTTTAACCATCTAGAGTCCTTCCTGCTACAGGGACTTAATATTGATCTCCTTGCAGACGAAGGGCGCCAGCGGTGGGTCAAGGTTCGCCCGAACGGAGTCGACAAGAGCGCAGCGATTATCCGGACGTTGGAACACATTCGTGATTTTCCCATACGCCAGCGTCTCGAAAATGACTTTAGCATAGAGGACGACGCCCCGGCGCCGTCAATTGATTTTATTCTTTGCATAGGTGATGACCGTGCCGATGAAGGAATGTTTGAGTTTCTCCGAGATGAGAAGCGTTTGGAGAAGGTGGGCGTTCATTGTTCCCCAAGCAAGGTCTTTACGTGCCGCGTGGGTTCGTCGTCCACCGCAGCGTCATTCTTTTTGGAAAACACTCAGCGAGTAAACGAGGTGTTGGAGGAACTCGGGGTTTGGAAGCTGTCAAAAGAATGAAAGACAGTACGTTGGCAAAGAATTTCGAGACATAGCATCCAATGCAATCCGCACTTCTTCGATAGTAAGTCGCAGCAAAAAGAAGTCGAAACTGTAGTCAATCTGGACAATGAAAGGCTTGCAAGAAAACTCAGACTTCAATTGGCAATTCGCAAAAGGTTTACAGCGAATGTCAAAAGCTATCACGGAGTTTTGCTCGTCTTTTGCAGACGTCTGCCAGGGCAGCCTCCAAATTTTCCGTATCAAAATATTATGACATAGATGGTCCACACCAACTGAAGGAGTGCCATAGCGGCGAGAGTCGCACGTGGTTTTGAACAAACTACAGCACCCGACCTAGTGAGTACATGGACAAGAAGACTTTTGACCTGCACTCAAACAAAAACAGCTCCGATTCACGACCAGTCACAGATCACATCGGACTAAGGTTCTAGTGCCTTTGTCCCGCCGTGCTTCTAACGCACCGATGGTACACGCAACTGGTCCGCAGCTGCCACACACGTCCCAGCTAAGGGTGTTACAGTCGCCAAGCGCTATGCTCATGCGATTAAGGATTTGAAAGAAAAGGATGTCCATCAAGCATAACCCTTATTCAAAAAGTCAGTAAATGCATTAGTGACTTCATCCGCAGCCTGAGCAACTCCCTCGCTCGCTGCTCTAAAAATGTCGTCTGCCATTCCGGCGAGGGCATCCTGCTCATTCGTTGCCCTTGCACTACTGGATCGCGATTGCACGTAGAAGTCCGAAGACCCAATCGAAGTTGCATTTCCATACCTGTTCATCATGTTTTGCGTCGCATCCCCGTTTTGCGGTTTGAAATCGTCCGACGAAATCGCCTTGGCCCCCTTGAACCTCTCCGCAATCTCCTCCTTCGTGGGCGCCGCCGCTGTCTTTTGATTGACCCCGTTCACGTGTCTAGCAGGCTTCTGCGCTGCAACTTTCGGCAACACCGGGCCCGCAGGGACGTCCGACGAGCCGACCTTTGACCAGTCAATCGCCGTCGAGGCCGTTTTTCGCGTAGCGGAGGCCTTCCGACGAGCGCCAAGTCCTGCAGCACGACGCGTCGGACGTCTCGCTCCGGTAATCGAAGCGCCATCGGCGGCGACGGGAGCGGCAATAGTAATCGAGGCCGGTTGGCGGGGCTTTGGGGGTGTGGTGGGATGTGCGGCAGCCTCCGATCGTCGGACGGCTTTCGGGGAAAGACGGACGGAAGGGGCGTCGTTAATGGCCGCGCCCGCAAACGCGGATGAGAGGGTGTTCGAGGGCGGCGTTTTCGGGGAAGAGGACCAGTCGGAGGCTGCGTCAGCGACTTGGCGTTCAAGCTTTTGCTTGTAGCTTGCGGCGATGCGCCCCGTGTACTTATCAGCGTGGAAGCCGTTGAAGTCGTGCCAGCCGTGCTCCTTCCAGTAGGAACGAGCCTTTCCGTTGCCGCCGTTGACCATGCGTGCGAGATCGGTCTTCGACCAGGTGTCCATGAAGGCGGAGCGGACGAAAGTGATGTGAGTGCCTAGATTGCGGTGGAAACCGGAGCAGTCGAGGCAGATGAAAACACCGAAGCGGGACGAGGCCCAGGTCGGGTTTTTGGCGTTGCAATCGAAGCAGGTCTTGTTTTCGAGCCGCGTGCAGAGACGCTTCAGGACGGTCGACGAGTCTTGCGCAACCTCATTAGCGGCGGATGGGGCCATCGTGGAAAAGGGAGAGATGCGGCGGTGCCGGGCCGGGGCGGAGGGGATGGCGGAGGTGGCTTAACAGGGGGGGGGGGTGCCGGGAAGGGTGACAACAAGAGGTTTTGAGGTTTGGGCAAAATATATGGCTGCGATGCAGCAAGATGGAATTTTTCCGCACTGTAGGAATGCGTCGAAACTAAAGCTAGTGTCAGCTCTCGCTTCTGCTCACACATGCTGCGGGAAAATATTGGTATTTTAGAATATAACACGTTTTTTTGCCACGTGGGAAGAGGGCGTCTGCCAAAAAGCCATGCCCTGTCATCGCTATCCCTCGCAACCAACGGATGTACAGTAGAAAGGGGGAGTCTCCATTTTTGAGTCCGTGCTCTTGTGACGAGTTTTAGCCCAAAAAGAAGAAGTGGGTTCAACGTGCTTGAGCGTACAAACAACAACTTGTGTGCGTCCCGCAGACCTCGCCGATATTTCCGTTCACGCATCTTCCCGCAAATTAAACTCTCGAAAGCATCTAAACTTTTCTTGGTGAGAACAAATACATAAACAACGTTATTTATTTTCGCGCTTGCTCCCCTATGAAAGTGCTGTTCAAGTCCACAGAAGCTGTATTCATATTCCACCGACTCTTTTCGCATCCTCATCTTCTCAACCTGATTTCAGGAGATACGTATCCATTTCAAATCTTCTACAGTCTCATCGGTCCTCAGATAGGCATTGAAGCTGACTGAAAAGTCAACTCTTGCAGACTTTAGCTGTTGTAGCAAAATACCAAGCAAATGCACTAGTCTTTCAATCGTTCGTAGTGCTGTATTAGGGCATTGCAACTGGCACGCGCTGATAATCAGCTCTTCAGCCAAACTTTCTATATTGCAGCTGAACGTGTCGCATGTTTCCTAGAAATCTTTCTTTAATTGGACGTCCTAGTCACCATTCCGCCTCCCAGTACTAACAACTTCAAGCGGGAGGCAAGGCTTCTTCTCTCTTTGTCTATTCGCAGCAACGAAAAGCTGTCCTGATGCAGGAGCTTTTGTCTCTCAATCATTTCTCGATGAAGGGAACTCGAGAACGCAATCAGTATAGAGCCCTTGCAGTCCGGAACCCCATATGTCTTCTGTTGAACCGCCTATTAATCTTTTCGCTGAGTAAAACTTTCCCATTTAAGAATCTCGATATGGCTTTATCCACTGCTGCAGTTGCAGCCTTTGATGAATTCCATCAAACAGTAAGGTAGCACATATATATGCCAACACGTGAAATACTCATCTCGAAGAAGACATATTATTTGCCCAATTTCGCAAGAAAAGTCTGGGCACCCAGAGAGTCTCCATGGAAAGAACACAATAATTTTAATAAACATATCTATGTCTCGCAACTTTCCTCTCTTGTCTGTCTTCCGTTTGATCAGTTACCATGAGGGGATAAGAGGTTCAGATGCTAAAGACATTGAGTAGGGGCTTCAGCAAATTAACATCGGAAAAGATACAGAAACACTAGCACCATCACTGATGCTTAAACGTGGAATGAACTTTCGGATATATTTTAAATATTACAAACCTGAACATCTCCTTGCCTTTCTGAACGCTGATTACAGTCAGTAAAAGCGGGGAACGAATGCAGGGTGAAGGATTGATGCACGTGATTGAGCTGCCATTGAAGCCCTATGCATATGTGCCGTGGTCTGAGCTGCAGCGAACCGAGCCGATGCGGCATGCACCATGCGATGGGCGTCGAGCCTAGCGGCGTGGGCGTCGTAGTAGTTGCTGTGATGGCGATTGGAGGAGTACCGGCGAGAGCCCGAATATCGGCGAGAGCTTCGGTGATAGAGGCTGCTTCTGTAAGAACGGCGGCGCCGTGAATATGAACGTGAACGACGCCCACTGTAGTCGTATAGGCGGTGATGTGAGAGGAGGGGGTCGCTGAGGTATAGAGGCATCTTATACGATGTCAGAAGTTAGAAAAGTGTAGTGGTTGAGATGTGGAAAGAGTTGATGTCGGCGAATGACGATGCCGAAGTGATTCGTTCCGCGACGACATAGAGGGGCTTATGAACAGCTCTGGGGAATGACTAGGAGTGGGGGTGTATCTCAAGCTACGAGCAAATAAGCAAATGCGCCTGACATGAAGGTAGCTTACCTACCATGAACAGCTAACATCCAGCGTGTCGTCCCGTTCACAACGCAACTCCAGCGAGCTAACCGCAGTTAGTTTACTCGCTGGTGCGTCACAAGTGGGAAACCAACTGCCTCCCTTGCGCTGGGTAAACACCCATATTTGCATGTTGCAGCCACGCCCGCCGTCCGCATCGGGCCGAGAATTTACAGTTGTTGTGAGGCGGAAGCTCGATTATTCCCCTACAATTCTCGCCTACAGAAGAGAAGTAAAGTACGGGTGCATGACGCACGTTTTTCGTAGGAGGTTGCAGTGTACTGTGTGCTGCGGGCGGTAGGCCATGCCCAGCCTTCCTTGGCGCCTGCTCCGCATATGCTCATTTTGCGGAGGGCCGATTACAACACGTTTTGTCTGTTGTTTCCTTTGCCACACGTGTTCTGACGTTTTCAAGCCGTCCCGTCCAAACTGTGATCTGCGATATCCCGAGATTTTCTGCTGCTATATAGGTTATTACTGATGCCGGCCCACTGGTAGTCAACGGTTAACACTGGTGCTGTACTCTTTTACACCACGCCAGTCTTGTGCGTGCTTATGCGGACGTCTAAAGTCAGAATAAAAAACAGAACTGGCTGCTCACAGCAATCGCTTTTCCGTTTTGTCAACGTGTTGGAAGGAAGTGTAGCAACTTTTTTTCCTGGTCCGCCTCGAGGATCCTTGCACACATGTGCCAGCCATGCGTAGCTGTACTGAATAAGAGGATTTTAAAAATTCTCAGCCTTAACATTATTAATTCTAGCTCTTGCCCTCCTCTCGAAATCTTGAAGCACATGTTCGAATCAAGTCTTATCCTGCATCAAAACAAAATTATGTCGTTGTCCTGTTCCTGAAGAGACTGCCCTGCCGTTGATCATGTGTCCAATTACCGATGAGGCTACTTCAACGATGGCCGGGGTACTCTGTTACCCATTCTTATATTCAATAACGTCTTCTTTTGTCTCGACTGCATACATCCCAACCAACTGTGGAGCTGCAAAGCTCAATGACATTAATATTCATTTTAATGCTATTGAGCTTTGCAGCTCGCCCGCTGGCGACTCTTGAAAGCTTTGTTCGACCGTTACTCCTTCAAGTAGTTGTATCGTTGAAATACATACTTGTCGAGTCGCATCGCCACAAGGCTTTTCACTTTCCTCCACGGTAAATACCCAAAACTCGTGTTTTCGTAATGGTGATATCACCGAATTTGTGGTCAATTATTAAGATGTTTAGGCTTGTGCAGTTTTCCCAGTCCGTATTTATCTTATGAAATATTCGTTTAATTTGACTCATGTGAATGTAATCATGTCAGCTTCACCAAGACTACGCTGTTTTGCTTCGTGACAATTACGTGATACTGTTCCCATTGCGGTGAGGATTAAGAAAATTGGGAAAGGGCAGTAGCCAGGCTGAAACATCAGGACATGCCTGACAAATAGTTTTGTCCTCTGGGTTGTCGATATCATATTTTGACTTGAGGTCCTGTACCAACATACTCATAGAAGTATGATACATCCCCTACTTCAACAATCAAGTCCATTAATGCGTGTCAGGCTGTTACGTTGTAAGCAACTTCCCCCCCCCCCCCCCCCCCCCCCCCCCAACTCTTATTCATAA